ACCAAAATTCAAGTTCCTGCCAGCAAGGGACCCTCCTTGGCTAGCTGCAAGAACTGTGTCAAAACTGTCAGTGGTGACAATAAGGCAGGAGGAGGTGCATTTTCTTCTTAAATCACTTGACCAAGAAAAGGCTGTGGGCCCAGACAAGTTGGGCCCAAGATTGCCGAGAAGATGTGCAGACCAGCTGGCAGCACCTCTAACTCGCATCTTTCAGCACTGCCTAGTACAGTGTAAATGGCCTTTTCTGTGGAAAGAGGCAAATTTAGTCCCTGTTCACAAAAAGAATAGTAGAGCAGAAATCAGCAACTACTGACCAGTGTCACTCCTGTCAATCATTGGCAAGATCCTTGAGACAATAATCTCAAGACAAATGACAGAGTATTTTGACTACCACTCACTACTTTGTGACCGTCAATATGGCTTCAGGAAAGGTTACTCTGCTGCTGATCTGTTGTTGAACCTCTCCACTAAGTGGCACCAGTCACTGGATGAATGCAAAGTCAGCTGTGTGGTAGCACCGGACATTGCTGGTGTGGCACCAGGACCTCTTAGCAAAACTGCAAGCTCTGGGAATTGCCGGCTCTGCACTATGTCTCCTCAGTGATTACCTTCATAGTAGATCTGTAAGGGTAGTTCTCAGTGGAACGGAATCAGCAAGACATCCTATTGGGGCAAGTGTTCCACAAGGAAGCATGCTGGGACCATTGTTATGGAATGTCTACTTCAGTGACCTTCTTCAGCTCATCCCAGAATCCCGTGCATATGCAGACGACTGTACACTGACATTCACTTATCCAAGAGAAGAAATGCCAGCTACTCTAAGCTACATCAATCATCAGCTAAGAGCTATATCAGCTTGGGGAAATAGATGGCAAGTAACATTTGCACATGAGAAAACACAAATGATTATGGCCTCTAGGCACCATGATGGTAATACCAGTGCAGTAGTAAGGATGAATGGGAGGGTGAAGGCACCTGGGGAAGAAGCTGATATCCTTGGGGTGAAATTTGACTCCAAACTGACCATGAAGAACCACATTGTAAATCTTGCAAACAAGGCAGCCAGGAAGCTTACAGCACTTCGCTGTATCTCACATCTGCTTGACAGTTGGGGTTGCAAGATTCTGTATGAGGCACAAGTACTCTCACATCTTGAGTATGCTCCACTTTCTTGGTTTGCCTGCACCCCCCTCTCATCTGCAACTGCTTGACAGAGTAGAGAACAGAGCAAGATGTCTCATCTCTCGCCTGGACCAATCCTGGATTGATCTGTCATTTCAGCAGAGCCTTCAACACAGGAGGGATGTGGGTGGTCTTACTGTTATGTACAAGGCCAATATTGTCAAAGTACCACACTTGGTTCCACTTTGAGGACAGCGTGAAACAAGCTTCTATACCACAAGAGGGCAGAAAGCAGCAACTTCACTCTGGCTGTACCCTTCTCCAGAACATCACTTCATCTGAGATCATTTATCCCCAGGATGACTTGAATCTGGAACACATTTGTACAGCATTATGATGTCAACGAGACAGAGTCAATTGATCAGCTGAAAATGCTGGCTCACAGATGGCTCCAACTTCATCCTGTTCCCTACTTGTATGTCTCATGACAATAAAAATGCTTTCAAATGAGCTGATGTAGGTAACAGCTCTTAGCTTGTCAATAAAGTTAGGAACCCTTAACCTGTAAATAGCTTGTCAGTAAAGCTAGGAATTCTTAACCTAACCTTGTCTAACTCTGTGTAAAAAAAAAAAAAAGAGAGAGAGAGTGGGGGGGGGGGGGAAGAAGGAAGGGAATTCTGGTTTACCAGACCCAGGCATTAGCAATCCTCCAGTGAGAAGAGTAGAGGTTGTGTGAGTGAGGAAGTACACCCAGTACCTGTTGATCTTACCATCCAGCTGTAGGACACACACTGCTGTTCCTAGCACTGCCACCTTGCCTCCAGCCATGGAACACAGGCAGAAACGTGCTTGATGTAGTCCTGCACTGGATTTCCCTAATTATTCTCAAATGTTGTGGGCCTGCCACACACACATCTTAGCACCAATATCTGCCCCTGTCTGCACTGGATGCCAGGATGACCTGGAAGGGTAACTATTATTAACACACTGGCTGATTCCCACCAAGGGAAAGGACCCTTGATGGCAGCTACAACTGCTCTGCTTCTAGTCATGCTCTCCTGCCAAGCCACATTGGATGTTGTTTTCAATGTGGAAGGCCGGACCCTTCATGCAGCATCTTGCTATATGGCCTTTAGTGCCGCAGGTATATTGTTCCATAGTTTTTGAGGCAGCCATCTTGTGCATTAATCCTGGCACAGATGTCACAACTTGACTTCTCAACCAGTGTACATGACTCTTGGTGGCAGCTGTTGCCACTTGCCTTTGTTTTATAATATAAGTGCTGTGTCTGGCAGGGAGTCACCCACCACTGCACACTTACTTGTGTTCTTGCTACTTTTAACAGGTTTATATGTACAGCAGTTTTCAATGAGATTTTTCCAACTTTCTTTTTTGTAATCTATAAGGTTTTATTGCATCAAATTTTTGATAACTTAGCCACCATAATTTGATGCAACAGCATTTACCATTCAAGTTTCCTCTCACTCTATGCTGGTTCACTTTATGCAAATGCACTATAATGGTATGTTCTATTTCTAATCATAATTTCATATCAGTAATATCATTTTCTGATTGTGATTGGTGTGGTTCACAAAGTGTATTCGAGATTCCTATTATAGGGAAATAATTGTTTATAGCATGAGTAAGCTTAATACTGCTACCAAAACCCTGGAACACATCTGATGCATAAAACAAGGAACATGAGTATTATGATATATCATCTTTACAAGGGAAGGGAGGCACATAAATTCTTAATCTAGTGCACACTCAGTGTCTAGTTCACTGGTGCTGTCATTATTCACTACACACACACTCAGTGTCTAGTTAATTGGTGCTGTCATTATTCACCACACACTTAATGTCTAGTTAACTGGTGCTGTCATTGTTCACCACACACTTTTGGTGTCTAGTTAACTGGTGCCATCATTATTTACCACACACTCTTGGTGTCTACTTACTGGTGCTATCATAATTTACCACATACTCTTGGTGTCTGGTTACTGGTGCTATCATTATTCACCACACATTTGGCATCTAGTCACTGGTGCTATCATCATTCATCACACTCTTGTGTTAGCTTCAAGAACTTGTAACACATGATGGCCATGTTGGGAGCATCGCGTACAGTGTCTCGTATTGCATCCACTACTTCTGGTTGTAACACTTTCCACTTGCACTTTGGCATCATTGGCTCTCTGAAGACTGATGACTCATTATATACAGTTATTTATTAATTCCTGCATCAGTGGCCATTCATTTAGCTCTGCTTAATCCAACGCAGAGCTTCTACATGTCTGGAAATTGGGGCTCCTCATTCCAAAATTCACTTTTGCAGCAATGGAGGCCGGGTGACCAGGGACAGATTGAAGTGCTGAAGGAGGTATTCCTAGTGGCCTTTGTTGTCATCATTGTTGTACACTGGTGAATGCTGAGTTATGAATCTGTTTGTGAGGTCTTGCTGTTGTTGGAAAATTCCCTGTTGAGTGTACAGAGTTAATCTTGACTGAGTGGACAGGCATCTCAGACATTGCTGGGCATCTACCCAAGCAATTTTCCAGTATTAACTCACCACTTACAAGATTTTGGGTAGTATATGGTCTAAGAAACAAGACAAGTTGTTTTTAGTGAAACTAGTTGGGCTTCTTTCCAGTGTCCCTTCATGGCTGTCAGTTATGGGAATCAGTACTCTGATGACTCTTCATCACTCACAACAGACTCTCACATGGCCATCTCATAAAGGGACAGCCATTGCCTCTCTGTAAGAATTATTTGTTCATTCCGTCAGTCTTGAATGAACTACATGACAGACCACATGCCTATTTTATTTTTTGCCAGTTCTTCAGTGACTACCATTAATGCAAATACTTTTTCACTTTTTAATTGAAACTGATTTATAGGTCCAATTTTTTATTTGCTCCATTTACTATTACACTCTGAAACACTTCTACCACTTTAACCCTAATATCAATCAGCCACCTCTTGGTGTGCAATGTTGAGTGACCTACATGGGTTTAGTGTTTTACCTGAATGTAATAGGTGACATTTGTGGACAAAATATTTCCATTACATGGTTTGGTTCATTGACAGGAGGAAGAAAAGTCTTACAAAGTATTGTATGTGCTGACTATGTATTCTCAGACTAGGCTTTGTAATTAAACTGAAATTTTAATGGCCTGAAACTGCCAGATTCTGACAACATGATGGGTCCTGATAATGTATTCTGCTTAGTGAGTGGTCTGGGACCATCATATTCTTGCAACATGACTGATCCTGATAGTGTGTTCTGCTCAACTAGTGGTCTGTGACCACAGTATTCTTAGGGCATGATCGGTTCTGATAGATTTAGAATGTTCTGTTCAACTAGTGGTCTGTGGCAACATTCTTATGACATGACTAGTTCTGACTGGAAGTACTGCTCAACTAGTGGTCTGTGACCACAGTATTCTTAGGACATGATCAGTTCTGATAGATTTAGAATGTTCTGGTCAACTAGTGGTCTGTGGCCACAGTATTCTTATGACTTTGGTTCATTTATATGAGGGACAGATGATCTCTATCTTGACTGCAGTTTTTTTTTATTATGCATCTTTCATCTTAAAATAATATGTTATCTATATCCTTCTATATTTGTATCTTAATAATTTCTCTGCACATTATAAATACTGTGTATATAAAATCATGGTCACAAACCCAGTATCGTGCTCTTAATTTGTGTTAATGTATGCAGTTTGATGTGGGTTCTTCTATTTTTTTTTTTATATTTTTGTGTAGTTAATGATGTTTGCTTATCTCTTCTTGCTTCACACAGTAATTCACCAGTAATTTCTTTCACTCCTTGGGTCGGTCAGTTCCTGTTTAAAATAGTCTAAATATTGCAGAACTGCTGCAGTAGAAGAGAGAGCAATGCCTCAGAGATCAGCCTCTTGGTTGAGTCTGCACTAGAATGCTTTGATTTCCTCAGTGCAGAATATGATGATGATTTTGATGATAATCCTGATGTGAGTATAATGTATAAGATATATCTTCTAGTATAACACGTATAGACTCACCATTAACGATGTGTCGCACCTTGAGCAGGGTCGGTACATGCTACAGCTTCTTCAGTCATATTGGTCGACATATACCTACCTCTACTTAGTAACTGATGCTTGCATCTAACTTTCAAGCTTTTTACCCAGTTTTATTTTTAATCTCGTGTTTGAAAACAAAATTTTCATAACTGCTTAATTTTTTGTTCTAACAAATTCTGCACATTCATGACATGGCATGACTCAGTTTTATTGAAGTTTTGTTAGATTTACTTCTCATTTGTTCCTTACTATATTTTATTATTTAGATTCTTGATGCTAAAACATTTTCTAAAGCAATTCCTAGGTATTTTGTGTTCACGATATTTATTTGTAATTGCTATGGACTGTTCAACTCGCATCACCATGGAATGTATTACAGTACTTAAATTTTTGCTCCTTGTGTTTACTCTAATGTATCTCTGATGAACATCATTTGTCTGTGTCACTGAAGATTAATTCCAATTATCACTTACCTATATTCCTTGTAAGCAATGGTAGCTAGTGACTGTCCAGGGAGGCAGTACCAACTTGTCATAAGGGCATGAAATGGAAAACTTTTATAAATACAGTATTTTACTCTCTGGCAGGACTGGTGATCTTTTCTTTTTGTTTCATGAACATGTAAGATGAAGATTGAGACACTTATGCAGCATATGGGAATCTTTATTCAGGAAACGTTTCGCCACACAGTGGCTTCATCAGTCCAATACAAAGAGGAAGGCGTAAGGAGAGGAGGAGAATGAGGTAATCAGTCCCTCAACCTGGAGTCGATGTGTTCAGTCCATCAATCTTGTAGAATGTACAGCATAGGGCCGTAGACGTGGCATATATACTGGCTTCATCAGTCCATACAAAGGAGAATGGTGAAGAACATGAGGAGTTTGAGGTAATCAGTCACTCAGCCTTGAGTCAATGTAATCAGTCCATCCATCTTGAAAAGAATACAGTCTTTTCTAGATTGATGGACTAATTACATCGACTCAAGGCTGAGGGACTGATTACCTCAAACTTCTCCTGTTCTTCACCATTCTCGTGTATGGACTGAAGAAGCCACTGTGTGGCAAAACATTTCCTAATTAAAGATACCCAAGTGTTGCATATGTGTCTAATTTATCAACTTGCCAGTTCTCTGAACCATTCATCTACAGTCTTAGTCTTGTAATATTTCCTTTAGAAAACCTGTTGTGAGGTCGGGCAGATGTAGCGATGAAGCTTGAGATTGTTAACAGGCAACATTGCCCTCAGTGATACCAATGCTAGGGGTAGGCACCAAGGTACCAATGCTAGGGGCAGGCACCCAGGTACTAATGCTAGGGATAGGCACCCAGGTACCAATGCTAGGGGTAGGCACCAAGGTACCAATGCTAGGGGCAGGAACCCAGGTACTAATGCTAGGGGTAGGCACCCAGGTACCAATGCTAGGGGTAGGCACCCAGGTACCAATGCTAGGGGTAGGCACCCAGGTACCAATGCTAGGGGTAGGCACCCAGGTACCAATGCTAGGGGCAGGCACCCAGGTACCAGTGCTAGGGGTAGGAACCCAGGTACCAATGCTAGGGGGAGGCACCCAGGTACCAGTGCTAGGGGCAGGCACCCAGGTACCAGTGCTAGGGGTAGGAACCCAGGTACCAATGCTAGGGGGAGGCACCCAGGTACCAATGCTAGGGGTAGGCACCCAGGTACCAATGCTAGGGGTAGGCACCAGGGTACCAATGCTAGGGGCAGGCACCCAGGTACTAATGCTAGGGGTAGGCACCCAGGTACCAATGCTAGGGGTAGGCACCAAGGTACCGTTGCTAGGGGTAGGCACCCAGGTACCAATGCTAGGGGTAGGCACCCAGGTACCAATGCTAGGAGTAGGCACCCAGGTACCAATGCTAGGGGTAGGCACCCAGGTACCAGTGCTAGGGGCAGGCACCCAGGTACCAATGCTAGGGGCAGGCACCCAGGTACCAATGCTAGGGGCAGGCACCCAAGAACCAATGCTAGGGGTAGGCACCCAGGTACCAATGCTAGGGGCAGGCACCCAGGTACCAATGCTAGGGGCAGGCACCCAAGTACCAATGCTAGGGGTAGGCACCCAGGTACTAATGCTAGGAGTAGGCACCCAAGTACCAATGCTAGGGGTAGACACCCAGGCACCAGTGCTGGGGTAGGCACCCAGGCACCAATGCTAGGGGCAGGCACCCAGGTACCAATGCTAGGGGTAGGCATCCAGGTACCAATGCAAGGGGTAGGTACTCAGGCATCAGTACTAGGGGCAGCAGGCACCAATGCTAGGGGCAGGCACCCAGGCAGCAATGCTAGGGGCAGGCACCCAGGCAGCAATGCTAGGAGCAGGCACCCAGGCAGCAATGCTAAGGGCAGGCACCCAGGCAGCAATGCTAGGGGCAGGCACCCAGGCAGCAATGCTAGGGGCAGGTACCCAGGCAGCAATGCTAGGAGCAGGCACCCAAGCAGCAATGCTAGGGGCAGGCACCCAGGCAGCAATGCTAGGAGCAGGCACCCAGGTACCAATGCTAGGGGTAGGCATCCAGGTACCAATGCAAGGGGTAGGTACTCAGGCATCAGTACTAGGGGCAGCAGGCACCAATGCTAGGGGCAGGCACCCAGGCAGCAATGCTAGGGGCAGGCATCCAGGCAGCAATGCTAGGGGCAGGCACCCAGGCAGCAATGCCAGGGGCAGGCACCCAGGCAGCAATGCCAGGGGCAGGCACCCAGGCAGCAATGCTAGGGGCAGGCACCCAGGCAGCAATGCTAGGGGCAGGCACCCAGGCACATCTTGACTGGGCTCTCGTTAGAAGAAGGCATGTATGTATCAAATTCTTATTTATATATTTAAGTAAAATCATAGGAGACAAGCACATAATGGAAGGAGCTGTTTATTTTGATTAGCTACTGAGATCCTCTTCAGCAGATATACACAGTAAGGCCCCACTTATACGGCAGGTTAGGTTCCAGGCTGCCACCATAAAGAGGAATGCCATTTTTTCTACTTTTAAATGACAGATAACAAGCTTACAGTAACATATATTAAGTTAGCAATAGAACTAGGCATAAAAACAATAAAAAGTTAAATACACCCACAGTAAACTCATTACTTACCTTAAAATATTTGTAGTCTTAATGTAGGGTGAGAGGTGAGTATTTGTTGTAAAAGTCAGGTGTAGTAGCTCACCACCTGCCACACCTACACCAAGTATACAACTTGAATTTAAAGAACCCCAGAGCAATTACAGGTCCACATCCCTTTATTTGAAACCCTTAGGGCCAGTTTAGTTTCGAATTTCAGAATTTTTCAAAGTTCAGAATGATTCTCAATGCCGCCACATGACGGCATGACCCAGCACTGAGATGACTGATGCTCCACACTCCACGAAAAACTTTTGCTTTTTTGGAATTTTTCCAATTTCAGCATTTCGGATAGAGGGTTGTGGACCTGTATCATATTTATTATTATTTATTAATTATAATTACCCTAGGTAGTAGGTTGGTAGAAAGCAAATGCCCAGGGAGGTATTACCGTCTTCCCAAGTGAGTGTAAAACAAAAGCCTGTAATTGTTTTACATGATGGTAGGATTGCTGGTGTCTTTTTTCTGTCTCATAAGCATGCAAGATTTCAGGTACATCTTGCTGCTTCTACTTACACTTAGGTCACACTACACGTACATGTACAAGCATATATATACATACCCCTCTGGGTTTTCTTCTATTTTCTTTCTAGTTCTTGTTTATTTCCTCTTGTCTCCATGGGGAAGTGGACCAGAATTCTTCCTCCGTAAGCCATGCATGTCGTAAGAGGCGACTAAAATGCCAGGAACAAGGGGCTAGTAACCCCTTCTCCTGTATACATATATTACCAGCTGTATCCCACCTTGGTGGGATACAGCTGGTACGTTAAAAGATGAAGAATTATAATTATTATTATTATTAATAATAATAATAATAATAATAATAATAATAATAATAATAATAATAATAATAATAATAATAATAATAATATTATTATTATTATTATTATTATTATTATTATTATTATTATTATTACCATCGACATACCTTGTTCACTGAGTTTCATAATTTCTAACACCTACTCTTAGATGCTAGTGGAAATAAATCAGTTTGTCTGACTTTTTTTGGTTATCCTGGGTAATGTACACATATGCTGTTATGTATGATAATTTGTTGAACATGCCAACAGCCCCTTTATATGCAGAGCATTTCGGGCAGACTTAAGGCTAACTTAAGATTAATACTAGAAAATTGAATATTCAACTAGTTCACACTATATGGTTTTAAAAAGTTCAGTAGAGAAGAATTACAGTTTTGATATAGTATATAAAAAATGCAGTATTACAATTTAGCACAATTTAAAACAATGAAGTTGAAACAATTTTAAGTTTGAAGTAATGATTAAATAGTTGAGCAATCATCAAGCACAATGTACAGTAATGAAATTGAAACAATTTTAAGTTTGAAGTAAATGATCAAATAGTTGAGTAGTCATAAATTATTTAGGAGGTTTTTAAGTAACTGGTAGATGTTAAGTATAGTGTTTGTCTGGTTAATTTTGGGTGATGAGGTAATTTCTTAGTAGGGCCTTAAATTGATTTGCAGGCAGCAGGGGCCCTTTAGTGTGTTCTGGCAATGAATTCCAGATCTTTGGGCCCTTTACATGCATAACATTTTCGCATAGGGAGAGATGAACACGAGGGATATCAAAGAATGATTTGTGCCTTGTGTTATGCCTGTGTGTTCTGTTGTAGTTATCAAGTAGGACTTTGAGAGAAGGGTTAGTATTTGAGTTTAATGTTCTGTGTGTGTAGTAGGCTTAATAATGAGTGTGGATATTTTATATACTAAGCAAGTTAAGGCTCTTAAAAAGCAGTGGAGTGTGTTGTCTGGTGCAGGAGTTGGTAATCAGTCA